TAATCCCGCACACGAATTCACCGAAAAAAGGAAAAAGAGCCTAGAAAGACTTTGCTCGCTTGGGTCAATGCTCCTTTTACAGCGAGGATTCATTTGCCTTCCTCGTCGTCGTAGTCATCGTAGTCGTCGTAGTCGTCATAGTCGTCGTGGTCGTCGTCGTCGTCGTCGTCGTCGTCACCGTCCAGCTGCACCCTTAATTATACCAACGCTCCCTTTACCTCTCCTTCTCATCGCTTTTTGCGATTATAACAGCGCGCGCTGTAGCCAAGAGTCCCACCCGCCCTTATTATGCCCCTTCTTTCCGAGAATGATTGTGTACCTTTAAAAGTTGCAAGTTCAGGGAACGCGACTTCCTCTCCCTTATCCATCTCAGTCTTCTCTCTTTCTTTCAACTTCTCCCTTTCTGTCTCATCTATTTACGGGCCGTGGGTAACGTGCGCTGGGCTTTCGGGACTCTCTTTGTAGTGACGCGAGGTGATTGTCAGTTTCCTTTGTCTTGTGCCGAAGTTCGATCAAACGTTGTTTATAATAAAAAAAAACTCGATTCTCCATCACGATTAATACCGCGAGGTTATTTTAATATTAGATAATCGGCAAAGATTAAGTAGCGTTTTTGCTCTCTTTAACAGTTGCCCAGCCGACCGCGCATTTTTGTGTTCTAGTAAACAAAGACCCGCGATTATGCTGATGTTGATGGTAATATTTTTTACACCTTCCTGATAATTTTATTGATAAATTGTCGAATACGGTTAGGACAATTCATTCGTGGCTTGAACGTACGTTAGTTGGAGGTTTGAAGAAGCATGACAACCAGCAGTATCGACGCATACACACTTTATACTGTGGAATGTGGTGGGTAATTTATGCGAAGGTTAGAATTTACCATTATACCTTTCTCTTTTTTACTGCACGACGAGTAATAGTTCCTTCGCTTCAAAAACTAATAGGCATCGTTTTCGTAAAGTTTTCTTCAGCGCATAACGTCGATATAAACTCAATAATTAATAAGCCAAGTAATAATTCGCTTAAACGAATAACGCTTGATTATTAACGTCATCATTATCATCATTATCATCGTCGTAGATCGTCGTAGATCGCCGTCGCTCGCCGTCGCTCGCCGTCGCCGCCGCCGCCGTCGCCGCTCGACGTCATCGTCATTGTTCATCGTCATCGTCCTCCTCATCGTCATTATTATTAAGTTAGTCGAATACTACCTGAAGTTTTTGCGAAGGCCTTGCTAGTTGCAACTTGTACGTTAGCGCGTCGCTACCTCCATTATATTCAAAAGAATGCAACCAATTGCAAAAACGTTGCTCGCCACTGCTACTTTATACGCCAATAGGAAAGGCACGAGTCTCTTTACGCTCGTATCGGGTAATTCGGGCGGCTTTAATTAGCTCTCCTTTATGAAATGAAAATCCCTATCGATCAGAAACTTATCGTCCCGCGCTGTTCATACGTATGTAGGGAGCCAGTATTCTTGAGGAAGACAGCGTGATTAATTCATCGATCTACTTGGCCGACGACACCGCGCTTTTTTCACATGCCCGGCGTGCAGCGATCTCCCAAGTGACTCTCGCGAGGACATTGAGAGAGGGACAATCATAAATAAATAAATAAACAATCAAACAAACAAACAAACAGATAGACAGATAGATAGACAGACAGACAGACAGACAGACAGACAGACAGACAGGCAAACAGACAAACGATAAACAAATAAAAAGAAGGCAGCCAAGCGGATAAACGTGACCCTACCGCAACGGATCTACGGAGCCTAAGGAGTCTGTCTGTCCCTAAGGAGGAGGATGGACCGTTGGCCGGTGGCGGGGGGAGCTAGGGGCCGGACCCAAAAACTCAGCCGCGAGCACCTTAACCTAATAATAATAAGACCAACCTGTTTGTCAGGCACCGTAGCTTAGCGTCCACCCCCGCGGCTCAGCGGCGCTCATCGTCGTGTCGCGTGATTGGGCCGCAGGTAAACAAAGCGGGCCGTCGATGATGTTGGCCAGTGGTGGCGTCGCGACGTTTCGCCGCGCATCGCGCACTCGGCGTAAGCCTCCAGGAGTTTACAACGCGACTGGGCTACCCGAGTCGCCGGGACGCGGCGTGCGTACACGCACGCGCATACACTAAAAGCACACACGGAGGCACACACGCGCCGCGACGCTCTGTTCCCTCGGCGGCGGCCGAGTGTCGAATGCGCCGTGCGCCGCGCGCGTGAGATACACCGCCGTCGCCCCCGAGGGGGTGGGTGCGCGCGAGCTCACTGCCACGCTCTCTTTCTCTCTCTCTCTCTCTCTCTCTCACTCTCACTCTGGCTCGCTCTCGCTCTCGGTTTGTCTATCTCTCGTGCTCGGAGCGACGACGCCGATGGTAGAGCCATCGTAGGCGAGGGAGCAACGGAGAGAGGAGACGTACGCAGATGCAGCTGCTGCAGCCTACGATGGACACGCAGCCGCTTCTTTCAAGGACTCCCTTGGCTGCTCTTTCTTTATCTTGGCAGTGAGAAAGAGAGGGAGATACCGGGGATCCCCTTTTATTCTCTTTATCTATCCCTCGCTCGCTCGCTCGCTCTCTCTCGCTCGCTCTCTCTCTCTCTCTCTCTCTCGGTCTATGTAGTGATTCAGAGAAATTTTTTACCGTCGGTTCGGATCATGTTCTCTGCTCCCTTCCTTACACGACCGATGTACCTGCGTTATCTTTATTTAAAAAATAAGTCGAAATTCCGAAGGCCTGATTAATGCCGCGGCACTTATTCTGCTTAGACGGCGTGGCTAGCTAAGCACAATGGACATTGTTTGAAATTTTTTCGATAATTTCGACCACTTCTTTAAGCCGGTAACTGCTTAATAAAATATCGGATCTTAACATATTATTTTTTTTATTCTTGTCTTTTCTTTTTTTTTTTTTTTTTTTTTTTTAATCCTAC